CAAGGTGGAGCAGGAGTGGAGGGAGGAGTGAGAGCTGGGGCAGCCAGGGGCTGGAGCAGCACCAGGCAGCACTTTCTGCACCAGGGTCTGCAGGTGGTTGCAGATGGCACGCCCCTGGTCAAGCAGCTCCTGCAAGCTCTCCCGCCGCAGCTGCAGGTCTTCCTTCACAGGAGCTCCAGGTACTGCCGCTGGTATCCCTCCTGGTTCTGGGTCAGCCTGCTGAGGGCCCGGGTGCAGGAGGATGTCCTGGGCGGGGTGGTGCACCCTGCACTCGCAGCTGCTGCGGCTGTGGAGAAACATGAGAAGTGGTCAGTTCTCCCTGGGGACACTGTGGGTGAAACCCAGAGGCGCTCTGCAAGGCGAGGATGGCAGGACTCCACACCATCATGTCCTGCTATCCCCGGAAGTGTGAGCTGGCCCCTGTGCTGTATATAGTGTGGGTGTGCAGGGGGTGGGGAGGGGAAATGTGCCCTGCCTTTGCATAGAGTGTGTGTGTGGGGGGGGGGAGGGGAAATGTGCCCTGCCTTTGCATAGAGGGGGCTTGTGGAGGGAGGGCATTGTGCAGTGTCCCTCCCTGTGGTCAGGAGCATGTCATGTGCCTTCATACATACATGCATGTGGGTAACAGGCCAGGGCCCCTGGTTGCTGCATGCTCCATGGTGAGCAAGGCCCACAGGCACAGTCCCTGGTCTCCCTCCCCCCCCCCGACACCGCATAAGGGGACAGTGACGGAACTCACATGTCGAGGCCTCCCCGGCCTTGGATGATACTGGTGACAGGCTTGCTGGGATGGCTTGGGGGTTCTGGGTGTAGGGCATGCTCCCTCCAGGCTCCTGCAGCTCCTGTCTGTCCTCCTCTTTCTTCTCCTCCTCCTTCTTCGGCAGGGGCTCCGGGTTGGCGTTCTTGTTCACTGCAGGGACGGGGACGGGGAGAGGGGACGTGGAGCCGCAGCGCCAGAGCCACACGCCCTCCGCGGGGAGCCTGGCACAGGCTGCTGGAGCCTCTAGGGCCCTGGTCGGCAGCTCTGCATCACTCCACACAGCTGACCGACAGACACAGGCCCAACACACACATACAGACAGCGCTCGGAGCCAACTGGACATACACACGCCCCCCCCAACACACACAGCGCCTTGGGGATGGACAGACACACACAGCGCTCGGAGCCAACTGGACATACACACGCCCCCCCCAACACACACAGCGCCTTGGGGATGGACAGACACACACAGCGCTCGGAGCCAACTGGACATACACACGCCCCCCCCAACACACACAGCGCCTTGGGGATGGACAGACACACACAGCGCTCGGAGCCAACTGGACATACACACGCCCCCCCCAACACACACAGCGCCTTGGGGATGGACAGACACACACAGCGCTCGGAGCCAACTGGACATACACACGCCCCCCCCAACACACACAGCGCCTTGGGGATGGACAGACACACACAGCGCTCGGAGCCAACTGGACATACACACGCCCCCCCCAACACACACAGCGCCTTGGGGATGGACAGACACACACAGCGCTCGGAGCCAACTGGACATACACACGCCCCCCCCAACACACACAGCGCCTTGGGGATGGACAGACACACACAGCGCTCGGAGCCAACTGGACATACACACGCCCCCCCCAACACACACAGCGCCTTGGGGATGGACAGACACACACAGCGCTCGGAGCCAACTGGACATACACACGCCCCCCCCAACACACACAGCGCCTTGGGGATGGACAGACACACACAGCGCTCGGAGCCAACTGGACATACACACGCCCCCCCCAACACACACAGCGCCTTGGGGATGGACAGACACACACAGCGCTCGGAGCCAACTGGACATACACACGCCCCCCCCAACACACACAGCGCCTTGGGGATGGACAGACACACACAGCGCTCGGAGCCAACTGGACATACACACGCCCCCCCCAACACACACAGCGCCTTGGGGATGGACAGACACACACAGCGCTCGGAGCCAACTGGACATACACACGCCCCCCCCAACACACACAGCGCCTTGGGGATGGACAGACACACACAGCGCTCGGAGCCAACTGGACATACACACGCCCCCCCCAACACACACAGCGCCTTGGGGATGGACAGACACACACAGCGCTCGGAGCCAACTGGACATACACACGCCCCCCCCAACACACACAGCGCCTTGGGGATGGACAGACACACACAGCGCTCGGAGCCAACTGGACATACACACGCCCCCCCCAACACACACAGCGCCTTGGGGATGGACAGACACACACAGCGCTCGGAGCCAACTGGACATACACACGCCCCCCCCAACACACACAGCGCCTTGGGGATGGACAGACACACACAGCGCTCGGAGCCAACTGGACATACACACGCCCCCCCCAACACACACAGCGCCTTGGGGATGGACAGACACACACAGCGCTCGGAGCCAACTGGACATACACACGCCCCCCCCAACACACACAGCGCCTTGGGGATGGACAGACACACACAGCGCTCGGAGCCAACTGGACACACACACGCACCCCCAACACACACACAGCTTTGGGGATGGACAGACACACACACAGCGCCTTGGAGCCAGCTGGACACCCTCCCCCCAACACACACAGCGCCTTGGGGATGGACAGACACACACCCCCCCAACACACGCAGCGCCTTGGGGACAGACAGACACACCCCCAACACACACAGCGCCTTGGGGATGGACAGACACACACCCCCCCAACACACGCAGCGCCTTGGGGACAGACAGACACACCCCCAACACACACAGCGCCTTGGGGATGGACAGACACACACCCCCCCAACACACGCAGCGCCTTGGGGACAGACAGACACACCCCCAACACACACAGCGCCTTGGGGATGGACAGACACACACCCCCCCAACACACGCAGCGCCTTGGGGACAGACAGACACACCCCCAACACACACAGCGCCTTGGGGATGGACAGACACACACCCCCCCAACACACGCAGCGCCTTGGGGACAGACAGACACACCCCCAACACACACAGCGCCTTGGGGATGGACAGACACACACCCCCCCAACACACGCAGCGCCTTGGGGACAGACAGACACACCCCCAACACACACAGCGCCTTGGGGATGGACAGACACACACACAGCGCCTTGGAGCCAGCTGGACACACACACCCCCCCAACACACGCAGCGCCTTGGGGACAAACAGACACCCACCCACCCAACACACACACAGCGCCTCAGACAGACACACACACCCAACACACACATATATACAGCGCCTTGGAGCCAACTGGACACACACACGCACCCCCAACACACACAGAGCCTTGGGGATGGACAGAGACACACACACAGTACCTTGGAGCCAGCTGGACACCCTCCCCCCAACACACACAGCGCCTCGGACAGACAGACAAACACACAGCCAACATACACATACGTACAGCGCCTTGGAGTCAGCTGGACACACACACACCCCCCAACACACACAGTGCCTTGGGGACAGACAGACACACACCCACCCAACACACACACACACAGCACCTTGGGGACAGACAGACACCCACCCACCCAACACAGACACACACACACAGCGCCTCGAACAGACAGACAGACAGACAACCAACCCCCAACACACACAGCACCTAGGACAGACAGACACACAGCCAACATTCACATACGTACAGCGCCTTGGAGCCAGCTGGACACA